CGTATTCTCTTAGCTACTTCCTGCTGAAAAGGGACGCTGTGGGTTTCAGGGTGAAGATCTTCTCTCACTACTCTAAAGGGCCCCTTTGGCAGTAGGAAACACATAGACTATTATGGAGATTGATTTTGGAATTCAGATGCACTCTTATTGATTGTGCTTGGCTGTACATGTACATATCCTTGAAGATGTATCATGGGGGTGTTGAATATTTTTTGAAGGTCACTCAAAAACAACTAGAATATCACATTGACAAGGAACTAACAGAGGTTCAAATTGATTTTAGAAGAGGTTATAGCAACAGGTTTATCACTGCTCATGTCAAATGCAGACTGGCTAAAACCAGAATATACCAGAGAATACCAGAAAATGTCTATTTGTGTTTTATTGATTAGTCAAAGGCATTTGACTCTATGGATCCAAATAATCTATGACTAATGTTGAGAAGACTGAGAATCTCTAAAGATTTAATTGTGCTCATATGGAATCTATATCTAAAACAAAGAGTAGTTCTCCAAATAGAGCAAGGAAAGACTGACTGGTTTAAAAATCAAGAAGGGTGTGTTTCAAGGTTGTGTCCTTCACTCATATCTATTCAATATGTATGCTGAGCAAAATATTTGAACAACTGTTATTACGAAGAATGTGTCATCAGCATTGGAGGAAAACTCATTGACAACCTTCATTATGCAGATGACATAAAATGGCATGCTGAAAGTGAGTAGGATATGAAATGCTTGTTGCAGAAGATCAAGGACTACAGCCTTCAGTATGGATTATATATATCTCAACATCAAGATAACAAAGTTCCTCACCACAGGACCAAGAGTCAAAATTATAATAGATGGAGAGAAGACTGAAGCTGTCAGTGATTTCATCTTCCTTGGATCAACAATCAAAAACCTCGGTACCAACATTCAGGAAATCAGGAGACATATTGCATTGGGCAAGTTCATTGTCAGGGTCATCTCCCAAATGCTGAAGAGTAATAATGTCAATTCGAATACCAAAATGTGCCTGATTCAGGCCATAGTCTTTTTGATGACTTGCTATGCATCACTGAGCTGGGAAATGGATAAGGATGACATAAGATGAATGTATCCCTTTGAACTGTGGTCTTGGAGAAGAGCAATGAATATCCTATAGACTGCTAAAAAAAACAGATATGTCTTCAAAAATGTGCAGCCAGATTTCTTGTGAGAAGCAAAGATGGCAAAGCTTCATCTTTTGTCTTTTGGACACAGAGTGAGGTGAGGCTGTTCCTTGGAAAGGACATAATGTTTGGAAAGATGGAGGACCGGTAAATGAGAAGATGCCCCAGTGAGATGAACTGACTTGGTAACTTTAGCAGTGTACTTTCTAGTATGTTAGAGATGAAGTGGATGGCACAGAATAGGTAAGGTTCAGGTTGGCTCTTCATAGGCTTGCTCTGAGTCATACTCAATGGCACCTAACAACAACATATCTACATATGATGTTCAATAAGATTTCCTTTGTTAGAGCTTGAAAGCTATAGACAATAATTGATAGGAAAAAACTAGAAACATCACAGGAAATCATTAAGAAATTAGATTATATTATTAATCTGACTTAAAAACACAAAAAGCATCAAATTATTTATTAGTCTCAGATTTATATATTTTATTTAAAAATCCCTCATAATAGCATAACATTCCCAATTCTAAAATAATTGAGATTTTTGTAAGAATTATTGCCAAGGGTCTTAAGTTTTAACTGAAAATAAGTAAGTAATAAAAAAAACAAAACAAACAACAAGCCTGTAATACTTTTTATAAATTTTTCATTCCTATGTAACTGTATTTTGTAGACATTTCTTTACTAGATATACCAAAAGAAGACAATTCAACAGAAACTATGTTTCTACAATATTTATATCTACTCAGCTAAAAATTATGTTATGAAAGTAAACTTTGAATATTAAAAAAATGATTTTTTTCTAGTTAGGTTCGGCTTGCCAATTGTTATTAGGTATCACTGAGTCACCTCCAACTCATAGCGATTACGTACACAAGAGAATGAAACCAGGCCCAATGTATACTACATCATCCTCACAATCTCTCTTGTGTTTAAAGCTCATTGTTTCAGTCATTGTATCAATGCATCTCATTGAAGGTCTTCCTCTCATTCACTAGCCATTCACCTTTTTAAATATGATGTTTTTTTCCAAACACTAGTCCCTCTTGATAATGTGCCCAAGGCCTGTGAGAGTCTTACCTTCCTTGCCTCTGAGGAGTACTCTGTCTGCACTGCCTCCAAAGCATATTTCTTTTTTTGGCACTCTGTGTTGGAATGTACTCTACACTGAAAGCTGTAGTCTTCGATCTACTTTAGTAAGTGCTTCAAATTATCTTCATTTTAAGCAAGCAAGTATGTACCATATGTATATCACAGGTTGTTGACAAGACTTCCTCCAAACCAGATGTCATAATTATCATCAAAATAAGGTATATAATTTCCAAGGAAAATCAAGATGAATACAGCTTGGTGTCCCATCTCAACAGTTTGTTTTATGAGCTTTAACCTTTTATATGTGACCTTTAACCTTAATATCTTAATTCTTTTGTGCTCCAGGCAAATTACTAAGACAGATACAGTTGTTTGTTTTTGTGGGGTTTTTTTATAAAATAGTTAAAAGTAGTGAAACATTAAAAAATTTAAACTTTTATGTGCTGTCTGGTAATCTAGTAATTCTATAACAGAAACTTGACAAATGGATGACTTTAACAAATAGATATTTATTTTCTTACAGCCTAGAAGGCTAACAGTTCAAATCTAGTTAGACTGCTGGCTCTAAGAAAAGACTTTCTCTGCTTATGGCTCCAAAGGAAAGTCCTCATTTACTAATGTTTTACTTATGGATGATTTTCATGTTGTCTGACATCTCTTTCCTATTGTCTCTTGCTTTTCTCTGTTTAATCTCCCTTATATCTCAAAAAAATACTTATTTCAACTACATTCTACACTAATCATGTTTCATTTTCATACCAAATACAACTGTGGAGTTTATTGTTCAAAATGACTGAGCTAGCCATTGGATTTTGCTTTGTAATATGAATTAACAGGAATATGTAAATAGTAACCCTAATCATAAGAGGATTGGCTAGTCTTGCTATTAAATGGAGGAGATCCAGCAGTAGAATTGGAAGATCTTCCTCATTGGCAAAAGAAGCAACAAGGGAATGTAGTGTGTCCTTCATAGCAGAGAATCAGGGTAATAACATGAGATAGAAAATCAGAGACCTGACATTAGACAGGACCTTGGGACTGCTACACATTTGGAACTGGAGCTAATAGCCTTTGCCTAAATTTGTTGGCAACAAGGGGTGGGGGTTGTGGCATAATTTGCAGGACTTAGAACTTTGTAGCACTGGCCTAAAGCCATGAGGTTCAAGGCTGAGGTGCCTATGAGCAGATTTTGGAAGCTGTGTGACTATATTCTGCTTGTTGTTCTTGTTAAACGCTGTTGAATCACCTGCAACTCAGCAACCCTCTGCACAATGGCCCTTAACCATGCTTTATCCAGTGCCAATCTCACTGTCTCTGACACAGTTCTCCTTCTATCATCCCTAGTCATTGACCAGCTCTCTGACACATAGCAAATGATTGCAAAGACCATGGCCTGTATTAGGTTCACCTTAGTCTCCAGAGTGAAATCATTGCTCTTCAGTATTTTGGAGAGGTCTCTAACAAGAGACATCAGACATTCCCATCACAATACGTCTTTTAATTTCCTGGCTGCCAGTGCCAAGAGTGTTGATTATGGAGCCAAGCAAACTAAAGCTGTGAACAATCTCAATCTCTTCACCATCTATCATGAAGCTGCCAATTGGCCCAGTGATGAGAATTTTTTTGTTGTTGGTATTGAGCCTAAATTCATATTGAAGGCTATAGTCCTTGACCTTCTGGAGCAAGTGCTTCAGGTTCTTCTAGGTTTCAGCAAGCAGGGTTATGTCATCTGCAATAACACAGATTGTTGATGAATCTTCCTGCAATCCTGATGCCACATTTTTCCTCATACAGTCCAGACTCTCAGATAATCTATTCTGCATATAGATTGAAAACGTATAGCAATAGGATACATCGCTGGCATACACTTTTATCAATTTTGAACCATGCAGTGTTTCCTTGCTCCGTTCCTACGAATGCCTGTTTGTCCAAGTATAGGTTCCACCTTAGCACAAACAAGTGTTCTGAAAGTCCCATTCTTCTCAGAGTCAGTCATTGTTTGTTGTGATCCAAACTGTCAAACTTCGTTGCATAATCAAAGAAACACAGATAGACATTCCTCTGGTACTCCCTGCTTTTAGCCAAGATCCAATTAACATTAACTACAGTATCTCTAGTAACACGACCCCTTCTAAACCCAGCCTGCACTTCTGACAGTTCAATGTTGATGTGCTGTTCCAGTTGTTTTGGATAATCTTCAGCAGAATCTTGCTTGTATGTGATATTAATGATATTGTTCAATAATTTCCACACTCTGTTGGATCACCTTTCATTGGAATGGGAACAAATATAGATCTTTTCCAGTCAGTTGGCCAAGTGGTTGTCTTCCATCGTTCTTGGCACAACTAGGTGAATACATATGCTGCTACTAACCTGGATTGTCAACTTTTGACTTGCCTAACATGATTTTGTGTTGTCTGTGAGCTATCAGATTCTGTACTCAGTAAAGCCGAAGGATTGGTGTTGAGATGAGGTGAAAGAATTATGAGACTGTGGGAGACATGTCTGACCTCGTGGAGATTGGTTTGGTGTTGCTGATAATGTAGCCAGGGACAGCTCCCTTTTGTGAAGTTGTCCAAGGTTAGATACATCTGTCTCCACACGGTGCTTTGTTCTTTTCACACAATCTATCCTCAAAGGGATTAAAATCAAGGCATAGATGTTAGCCTATACAACACATTTTGGAAGGATGCAATGGATGCATACCACTTGCCAACAAATATTTTCAAACAAATAGGCTTCATTGATTTACTTACTAAGATAAGCAGCAGAACAATATCAGGGTTATCACAGGCACAGGCAATGTGCATTGGTGTCCAAAAATCTTCATCCTGCTGATTCACATTCACCCCTCTGTCTATTAGGACCTCTGTAATGAAGGCATTATCATACCGAGCACACTATAAAAAGAAAGAGAAGAAAACACAAAGTATAAGAAATCTAAATATGACTTATTCCAAATTATAATTATGCAAGATGAAAGATAAAACTAAACTGGGAAACAAAGGTTCCATGTTTCCTACCAACCTTCAGGGTAAGAAAAAAATGTGTGATATGGTCAATGGACAATAATAAAGAAAATAGGCACAGATATGATAAAGAAAAATCAATATTTTATTTTTTTACTCCTCTTTATACATAGGAACATTAGAATATTTTTAGAAAGTTTGTCGTAATTATATTTCTAAAATACAGATCTGAATGTGTTTTTATTCTTCTCTCAAGCAACATGATTTATCACTGTCCAAAGAATTTGACCATTTAATTGCATACAAGAGCTATTATTACAAATTTTCTCATTTTATCTTTCAATATTTTCATGGTCAGACATTATCCTAAGCACACAAAACTCAAGATACTTTACAGCACGTTATATTGTGGTAGTTTACAATTTTAATTAAAGACTTTTCTAACAGAATTTGATAGTTATGTAATATTATATGTTATAGATATACCAAAATCTATAAAATCAAACCTCCCAAAACTTAAATTGCTCATATTTCTAAGAGTATGGATGGATAAATTGTGATAAATCATATGTCAAATTATTTAGTCAGTACTTGTATAAATTTATACATTATATAGTGTACATAGGGTCGCTATGAATCTCAAGTGACTCAACGGCACATAACAACAACAACAACAGCATAGTGTTATAAAGAATACACTTATATTCAGTAAAACTTCTGGGTTATAATAGATTTTTTATAATAGATGCATAGAATAAATGTCCCTACCAAAGTGAAATACCAATCAATACTCCTACTAGAGTACTACAAATCTATACAAATCTATTCAACTACTACTGGATGATCACAATATCTGAAACTGTGAAATTGATAATAATTTCACCATGAGGAGGGAATGGAGGAGAGTCCTAAAATATTCTCTCAACAGACACCCTTTGTTACCCATACAGCAATATAATATTCTTTTAAGGAGGCTTGAAATTAGATAATGCATATTGAAAACTTTGGGAAAATTATTTCAAAACTTCTTTTAAAAGTATAAATTATATGCTAAATTATTAGAGAAAAATAATACTTAGAAAATGCTCAAATAAAAGTAGACACAGCAAGGAAAGAAAGATAGGAAGCAAAAGCAGGTGCAACAAATTCAAAACTGATATCAATATGGTACATGTTATTCAATGATAATTTTTAATGTGAGTGGTCTAAATATACAGGCAAAGATTGTCAGAAAGCATTTTCAAAACAAAAAAAAATCAAATGTATTTTAGTACAAGAAATTTTTTTCATAAAAAGACTTGCAAAGATAAAAATAAAAGAATACCATGGTCAAAAAATGGTAACATTGATCAAAAGAAAGCAGAGGTAAATTAGATATATTCATTTCTTCTAATTGAGAAAAATCATGACAAAGGACAAATTAGTTCTACAAATGATAAACTCAAAACAAAGCAACAAAATGTATGAGGCAAAATTGATTTAATGGAAAAAACAAGGAAGAATAACTATAATAATTAAAGAAATCATTAGTAATTGAAAAATCCAGTCAAAAGAAAATCAATAAGGATATAGTTGAATTTAACAGCACTAAAAATCAACTGAATCTATTGAAATTTATGGAATGTTTTAGCTCAACAATAACAGTATATACATTTTTTTCTCAAACTCTCAGATAATTCACTATAAGAGAAACCAGAAAACAAATCAAAATTTTTAAATGAACATAAATCACACAAATTATACCCTTTTAATAATAAAGGTCCTATTCTAGAAAATAATAACAGAAAGATAACAAAACAGAATTCAATATCATGATATTAAACAATATTCTTCTAAATAGCATATGCAATGTTATGAAAATAAATTTGAATATAAATTAAAATATTTTAAATGAAATTAAAGCTTACCCACATGTGCAGACTATAACAAATGCTATGCCTATAGCAAAAACTTATAGAAATGAATATGCATATTGGGAAAAAAAACCAAGGGCCTAAACTTCAATAATAAGAAATAAGAAAAATAACAGTAAATCCAAAGTAAGCATGTCAAATAAAACGTGAGCAAAACCCAATAAATTTCAAAAGAAAAAAATCAACAATGACAAAAGGTTTCATTGTCAAGTTCAACAAAATTAATGAACTCCCAGAAATCTAATTAAGAAAGACAGAAAAAAGAAAAAAATTACTATAATAAAAATGAAATAACTACATGTCCAAAATTTTAACATATTGATGAAAATAACTAAATTTTCCAAAGGTACAATCTACCAAAATACTGACCGGAAGAAATAGATAATTGGAAGATGGATATATCTATTAAAAAATGCAATAAAAAATGGAAGTATTAGTCTCAGACAATATAATTGATGAATTCTAAAAAAAAAAAAAATGGAAAAATGATACAAAGTAGTAGTAAAAGTAGGAGGAGGAGGAGTATATGTCCCAATTCTTCTGAAGCTGAATGAGAAAATATCAAAACGAAACCAGTATCACAAGAGAGAAAGTTTACAGGGAGCTTTGGTGGCCTAGTGGCAAGATGCTACACTGCAATCCCAGAGATACTTGGTTCAAATCCACCAGATGCTCTGCTGGAGAAGGAGGGACAATCTTCTCATCAGATCCTATTTGAATGGTACACACACACACACACACACACACACACACACACACACAAATAATAAGATTTTTTAAAAAAATTTAAAAAGAAAGTTTATACACCACTAGCTATTTTGAAAATTGGTATAAAATGCCTCAAGAAAATGTTAACAATTCAAATCCAACATATGAAAAAATTATATACATGTTCAAGTGAAATTTATTCCAGATATGTCCAGAAATGGCTCAATATTTGAAAATTAATATAATTACTGTGGTATCAAAGGTTTATCGTTCAAAAAGTATCTCCTAGACAATGACTAACTATTTTGTGCTGCAAGATTTCTTGTATTAAGGAAAGAGTATTAGGTTGAGCTCCAAATTCCACTATACTAAGGCTTTTATAAGCTCATGGGACCTCAACACTAGCTCTCTCTTTTTAGGACACACACTTTCCAGTGACACTGCAACTAACAGTCTACAATGTGCACCAGACTTTGTAAAATCAGCCTGCATACCTACAGTGATATAAGTCACTTTCCTGATGGTTTTGAGTCTCTAGAAGACCTTCCAAGGAACCACTAAACCCAAGGGATACAGAGAAGCGAGGGAACTGAATGAAAAAGGAACTGTTGATGTGGAAGTCATGGAGTTATGCAACATATCAAACATCTGGGACACTGTGGATTCTGTACAGCTTGTAAGCAGTCTGCTGTTAATCTTTCTAGAACAAAGTATGGATATAATCAGTATCAGAGTAGTGAGATTTGCTAAATGGTCTAGACTCTCTATAACATATGTCTTCACATAAAGAGGGTTAAATAATAGAATGAGAAACCTGGGTGTCTAGAAGGGATAGAGAGTGTGCATCAATGAAAGCAGCTATTATACTGCAGTCAGTAACCTAATGCAAAAGTTATTTGACCTAATTCCTGAGACAATTGTTAATTTGGAGGCAAAGAGAAATAATGAATGATAAGAAAAGACCAGAACTAGTGACAGCAAATACAAGGGAAAAAATGTAAGAACTAAATGGCTGATATCAGAACCGAACAAAATCCTTCCAGGTCAGAGTTATGCCCCTTAATCTCATGATCTACTTGGAAAGAAGAAAAAACAAATAAACAAAAACATGTGGGAACAGCCCAAAATGCCCTCAGACCTGTGGTCATCAAAAAAGTCTGGAAGGCAGATGGGCAGGATCAAGAAACTATTGTAACCAGTGAATATAGCATACAGTAATGCATAAGTATGTACATTTTTATAGGCAGCCTTCCTTCTCAGGAACAATTACTAAAATGGATTATAAAGAGTGATAAATTTAGAGCTACATCCATGGTTCTGAATGTTGCAGAATGGAGGGATATGTTTGGGTGAATGCAAAACTGACAATTGTCTATACACCAGTCACAAATTATATGGCAGGACATAGTTACACAACAGATTAACCCAGAGGTGTGAAATCACTTGATAGAGTGGCTATGTAATTAAGTTCATTTATCCTGCTAAGGGAGACTCTCTTCTTACAGTTTAAGCAATAAATGGTACTCTCCAGGGGAAGCAGTTGATGTTCTGCATATGCAATCCACGTTGAAATGGTATTATGACACTGAACATATTAATCCAATGAGTATGCAACTTACATAGGCCATGACAGACAAAGTAATCACAGAAATTCCTCCTACATGGGCATTTCACGTAGCTCTGCTACTGGAGAACAAGGCAAAAACTGAAGAAACTGTGTAAATTTTATTAAAACAACTTCCCCTTATGGGTTTGAAAATACAAGGAATATTGGAGTGATTGATCGTCAAATGGGAAGTGATTTTGGAGAAAAGATTTACTCTGTTGTGGTGGACATCTTTTGATATTTACACAGGAATTGAATGAATATAGAGGGAACTGATAAAATTGAGACTGTTTCTAAAGTAGCACTACTGGAGGCTGTGTGGACCAATGAAGGCTCCTTCTGACCCTTCAACATTAAGAAGGCCTAAAAAAATGTGTTCTATTTATCCTAATTATGAAGTAATTAATGATGGAGTCACGCTCAGAATCACTTAATGCTTAAGTTCAACTTGATCAAGATATGGATTGACAGGAAGGCCAGAGTCTTCTGGTCCAGCCCTTAGCTGAATATCTGATGCTATATGCTTATGTACGGGTAAAATGGCTTGGAGGTGGAGAAGAAACTTTCTTGAGGCTTCTGAACACAGGACGTCAATGTACTGTAATATCCCCAAATCTACTAAGGAAAACTTGAGAGGATTTAAAGTTGTATTAGGAAGATATGAGAACGTAGAACTTAATGGGACTAAAGTGAAAGTCTGGACG